ACTGGGGACTACTGACTTAGACACGGACTAAATACACAAGACAAGCTAGACTTAATAGGACACAGGCGAGCACAATCAGGATTGAACACGAGGTAATGAGGGGGGCGTGGCACACATCGGGATCGTACGGAGCAGGGTGTGACAGTCAGTAAGTTCAAAAAAATAAAAATAAGATATACACATAATATAGAGAAATATAGTTGTTCTAATAAAGAAAATCATCTTAAGGTTTAAACTGTACATGTGCGTATGATTTAAAGTGCAGTGAGCCTTGTTGCAGTGACATAAGGCACACTGCACTTTAAATCATAAGCCATCCAAATTAGCATGGATTTAATGCTAAATTACTGTTTTTGGCCTTTTCTTTTAAAGGATTGGCATTATTTCTGATGTTTCTCTGGATTGCTTGTGGTTGGGGGGAAGGGGGGGGTGGTTCCATAGCTTGAACAAGGACTTTACCGCCATTGTTGTCACCGCCAGGCTTCTGCATCGAGCCGGTAGGCAGTACTTGGCTTCCATCTATAGTCTCTGCATGGGTGCAGTTCAGTCTCACAACTTCATTGTTAAAGAAACAAAACATACTTGTGGGATCCTCATCTATCTAAGAATGCAACTTTCTCCCCTCCAGTTGCTGTAAAATATCATAATCTATCAACGCATGTCTATGATTTGTAATGATAAGACCCTGATGCACCGTCGGTGACTGGTATGCCCCTGAAGGGGGCTGTCCCAGAGCTGCCTGATAAATAATGCCCAATGTTATTCCTGCCGGGGAGGACTCAGCGTGAGACAGAAATCGTTAACCGTGGCGAGGGAGAGCCGATTTGCTGTTTTGCCAGGACCATTCATCCTGGAGCACATCTCACGGACGTGAGAATGTGTTCTGACTCTTGAATGAAGAGCCTGGAGCCAGCGACTCCCCCCCACCCCTCCCCGTAACAGTTGGCGGCATGAGGCAGTTTGGACGAAGTGGCCAGTGATGCACCAGTCGCGTGGTAGTGGGACAAAACAAGAAAAAAAAAACGCAAAGTGAAATGACCAGATAGCAAACATTATACAGTATAAATCTCCATGCGCCTTGTACAGTGTTTATAAATACCCGTGAATGTTAACACTAATAAACAGCAGATGACGTGACTCGCTGATGTGCCGGGTTTGCCGCGCTTACGTCAGCTTGTCAATCTTCCAATTCTGGTGTTTACATCGATTACTGTGGTGCTTAGTGGCTTTATGGGGGTTTCCAGACGGCGGGTACGGAAGTGGCAGGAAGTAGCATCAACTTTATGGGGGTTTAAAGGGTGAATATGAAAGTGACAGGAAGTGACATCAGCTGTATGTCAGCAAATAATACATTTCATTACATTTCCTCATATTCTCCATCTCTCGAGTTGTCTTTTGAAAAATAATCTTTTAAGCTTATGCATTGTAAGCTGTTGGAGTCTTGGCCTATATCCTCTGTATCTGTGTTTTAAACGTTACACAAACATTCAGGACTATCAGGCAATCAGTCTGATTGCCTTAATTAGTTAAAAACTAAAGCTATTAAAACTGTCTGCTCCTTAATGATTCATAATGGTGCAGATATTTATTAAGTTCTTATATACTCATCCTATCCGTAGTTAGTCAGTGGAGTACCCAGGTAAAGTAGACTGCAGTGTTTCAGATACATGATAACTTGTAACTATATATTGGATAATGGTCAGTGTTTTCTGGTGGGGGGGTATGGAAGCAGAGGAGAAACATGGAGATTTGTAGGAATAACGTTGGGGTTCAGGATGCATCCTCAGCATAGTGGGCCTGTTGAAGAGCCAGTGGTCTTTGAGAAGCTTCAGAGGGACAACAGACTCCATCAGACTATTTGTGCCCCCCCTCCCCCTCCCCCTCTTCTTAGCCCCCTTGTATGTGTGATGTTAAAGCCGTCTTTCTATTGGTTGCGATAGGTGACCCCCACTGTGTCTGGTCAAAGGCAAAGATACTGTACATAATCTAATCTTTGCTTTTTCCACAAATACCATCTGAGAAGAAGGACTTCCTTTTAAAAAGCCCAGAGGAATGAAAATGTTCCATATATAAGCTTTGTAATGCTGGGATGTCTTCCACCCCAGAAAGGTCACATATTCCTCTCTATCCACATTGGTTTTTAATGCCATAAAATGCCAAGTATAGAAAGCGAACGGCTGATTTTCGCCCTCGTTCATGAGTTGACTCCTGCGCTGTGAAGTCTACCTTCGTTGAAAGGTGGAGAACAGAGAAACAGAAAGTCCGGCTTTCATGAGTATTAGTTTTGCTTGGCTGAAACAAACCGAAATGGAGCCCTCCCAGACTCAAATCTGGATATCGTCTGAAAAAAAAAAACAACCTTCCACGTCTGCAGGCCAGGCGGTCGGTCCTCCACGGCGCCTAGGAAACTTTCATGGTGACTTTGTGAAGTTATGAAGGCTTTTCTAGGGGTGGGAGCAGATTGGCAGAACTGAGCGGCCTGTGTCTGTGACATCGTGGAAAAACTCACCGAGAGGAACCCCCCCCCCCCCCGGGTCTCTCAATTGATGGGACGTTCCCCAGATTCAAAGGGCCGTATCTGAAGCTGGAACAGCCACAGGTAAGAAAACAAGAGTGGCTTTTCATCTCAGCCCATGGTGACGTTTTCGCGGGTCCTCAATCGCAGCCCCACCAGCGCCCCCTTGAGGGCGGGTCCCAGACAGCTCCTCATACGTGTCTCTCTGTATCCCTTGGTGGATTTGAGTCATTCCATATATAATTTAAGAGATTTTTCTCTTTTTATTCGACTTGAAAGGGCACTAATATGTGGTGGCACTGCTGTCTGCCTGTCACACGGAGGGAAACACGCTGCCAGGAGGAGCTTCTCTATCTGCATCTGGATTTACTCTTTCTATTCTGTTCCATTTTTCTGTTCTAAGGTCAGATTTCGAAACCATGGACCTTCATTTTTCGCCATGTGGCTGTTGATTTTATTTAAACTGACCTATGTGCATCTTAATGTGGACTTTTAAAATGTTTTCATTCATTCTCATGCAGCTCAGACTGAGGATGTTCCTACAGCGTCTGAATTTGTCTGAAAGCCTTTTCTTCATGACACAATATGGACAGCTCTACAGCGGTTCAGGTGCTTCAATTCAATAGACTTCTCAGCTGACCAATTGAGATGTAATGGCTAGATATTTAAGAGAATAGAACAGCAGGGCCCTTGACTGTCATTCTGCCTGCTTCACCTCTGTCCCTTTAGCTCTATGTCTGTGTAACCTTGGTTTTCCTTGAGCTCAGAACAGGAAGACAGGAGGAACAAAGAGAGCACTCATTTGCTTTTGTAACATCTCTCGACCCCAGGTTAGTGCTGTGACTTCTTTTCCACGGGAGCACTGGTACATCAGAAATGCTGTATATACAAAAAGACTATTCACTTCATTCATATATATATATATATATTGACAGGTGCCATTGTAACAAGATAATCAATGTTATTCACTTCACCTGTCAGTGGTTTTAATGTTATGGTTGATCGGTATAAGCTATTTTATATATTTATATATATATATATATAATAGCTTATATCGATCAACCATAACATTAAAACCACTGACAGGTGAAGTGAATAACATTGATTATCTTGTTACAATGGCACCTGTCAAGGGTGCCATTGTATATTAGGCATGTGAACAGACAGTTCTTGAAGTTGATGTGTTGGAAGCAGGAAAAATGGGCAAGAATAAGGATCTGAGGGACTCTGACAAGGACCAAATTGTGATGGCAGGACGACTGGGTCAGAGCATCTCCAAAATGGCAGGTCTTGTGGGGTGTTCCTGGTATGCAGTGTCAGTACCTACCAAAGTGATCCAAGGAGGGCCAACCAGCGAACTGGCAAGAGGGTCACGAGCTCCCAAGACTCACTGATGTGCGTGGGGAGTGAAGACCAGCCCGCCTGCTCCGATCCCACAGCTACTGTCACACATATTGCTGAAAAATTAATGCTGGCTATGACAGAAAGGTGTCAGAACACACAGTGCATCGCGGCTTGCTGAGTATGGAGCTGCATAGCCGCAGACCGGTCAGAGTGCCCATGCTGACCCCTGTCCAACGCAGGAAGTGCCTACAAAGGGAACGAGAGAGTCAGAACTGGGCCATGGAGCAATGGGTGAAGGGGGCCTGGTCTGATGAGTCATGTTTTCTGTTACATCATGTGGACGGCTGGGTTTGTGTGTGTCGTTTACCTGGGGAGGAGATGGTACTGGGATGGTACTGGGATACACTTTGCCGGCGGAGGCAGTGTGTTGCTCTGGGAAACCTTGGGTCCTGACATTCATGTGGATGTTACTGTGACACGTACCACCTACCTAAACATTGATGCAGACATACGCCCCTTCATGGCAATGGTATTCCTCGATGGCAGTGGCCTCATCCAGCAGGATAATGCACCTTGCCGCACTGCAAAAAATATTCAGGATGGTTTGAGGAACATGAGAAAGAGTTCAAGGTGTTGACTTGGCCTCCAAATTCCCCAGATCTCAATTAGATCAAGCATCTGTAGGATCTGCTGGACAAACAAGTCCGATCCATAGAGGTCTTAACTCTGCTGCTAACATCTTGCGCCAGATACTACAGGACACCTTCATAGGTCTCATGGAGTCCATCCTTGGGTCAGATCTGTTTTTTGAGGCATGAGGGGGACCTACACATTATTAGACAAGTGGTTTTAATGTTATTGCTGACCGGTGAATATTCATATAGCAATATATTCCACAGACCTAGAGTATTATCCATAAGTGATGTGTTTCTGTTTTGGAAAATGTGCAGGAACTGGATCAAAAAGACACCTCTTCTTTGCTGGACGATGTATTTTAATAGGTTGTTATTTTCTTTTCAGGTGGCAGGACTTCAATGACAAAGGCCACTCTGAAAGCAAACGGCACGATGATTTGTCGCGTGCAGCTGTGCAGCCGGCTTGCGACACTGCGGGGGCAGGCCTGGTGGATTGTCAGTAGCGCAGCCATCACCCACGCAGGTGCAGACGCCGTCTACGCGTAGATTAAAAGTAGCTCCAATGGATTCGCACTCTATATGTTGCAGGGCTGAAGGGGAGACTGTGACACCACGGACGTGCAGCCACACCAATGGGCAGGCGGCACACGAGCTGTGGTCAGTGCGAGTTCTTCTGGATAAAGGTGCCAGCCTTACACTGCACCACCTTCCCTTTGAGCTTATCTTCATGACGCAGGGCAGGCGCTGGATGTTCCAGCGCCTTGGGCAAGATGATTGTTATATTAAAAACATTTCAGTAGCACATGGTGTCTGGCTGCTAACTAGCTAGCTTGTGTCTGTCACAAGAAAAGTAGCGAAATATTAAAACTAGTATAAATAACGGAATGTAACCAGAGGCATTACTACTGACTTTTTTTCACTTGCTTTTCTGCGCCCCCTAGGCAATCGCCTATGTTGCCTATAGGCCGTGCCAGCTCTCCTGTTTCTTACCGGGAGATGCCACAGCAGAAAGTGAAAGCAGGCCTGCTCATACGTGCCCCCCTGCCAGCCCGGGCCCCCACACCCTGCCAGCTTTTTGCCTCTGACATCCCATACATTTGAACATTATGGTATGTTTATGGCCTTGTTTAACTTGGCGGCGCGACAGGTTATTTATGTTAATTGCCCGGCGACCCCCCAGTTAGTGCCCGGCTGCTTGTGAGCGGCGGACTGCCATGAGGGCCCCCCCCCCCCCGGAAGCGTAATTTACAGCCGGATCGCTGCAGCTACCTTCTGTCCAATTAGACCAAAGTGCTCCGTTTCAGCTGACTTTTATCACGACTCCCAGAAATTAAATGAAAAAAAAAAACCCTTGAATGATGAACCGCCCCTTTAACTTCCCCGTGAAAGAACCAGACTTTCATGCCTGTAACAGCCCTGCCAGGCAGCTCTGCCAGACCATCCAATCAGGCCGCTGTGGTTACACCTACGAGACAGGGCCCTTTAAAGGCCTTTATTTAAAATAAACCGTGGACATGTGGTCTTTCTCTTTACGCCCGTGGAAAAAAAAGCCTTTCTTCCTTGTTAATTACAGGCAGAAAGCATGAAAATATATATTCCTGGTTAGGCCCCGAAAAGTAAAACAGTTTCTGGTCTGGTTAACTCGCGAGCACTGAAATCGATATAAACATTGTCACTGATACTTTGGCAGCTCCTGGAGGGGGGGGGGGGGTCCAGAAAGCCTTCCTGGGAAAAAACATTATCTATAATAAATGACACGCTCGGTGGGATTCGCGGAATGCTGTGACATCGAAATCTCCGGGGGCGCGGGAGGGCGGTGGCCGTTTACTCTCGCTGATCCGAAACGTCAGCTGCGGACGGGGAGTTGATTTTCTGCGGCATTGCGATGTTGGGCCGCGGAGATGGAAACCGCAGACCATTTGGTAGTGGTGGTGGCGGTGGTCGGGGAGTGGGGGGGTGGGTCAGATAAACAGAGAGAGGGGGCGGGGCCAGATCAACAATCCGCTGCACACTGTTCTCCACCATTGCGATAATTATAGTGCCACTCCTGAGCGAAGTGAGACGCTCAGCTCATACCTTTAGAGACAAAACCTGGGAGCAGGACGCCCCCTCCGTCGTCACCCACGGCCCGTTTCTCAGTCTGCAGACAAATACCGTCCATCCATCTTTCCTCTGCCTTCGGTCAGCCAGTTTCAAGGCGGGACGCGGACCCACGTGTTTGGACAGACGAGATGATGGAGTACATGCATTTCCGACACCGAAAGCGAAGTCTCTTATTTGGGATTCGCCTCCGAGAGCCTCTTCCTGGATGCCGGGCCAAATGGCTGCCTCCGACTGCGACAGGAACATACTGTTTTCTCTGCTCGACACTGCTTTTCAGATTATGGAGGAAAACACAGCAGTGAGGGCAGAAAAGCAGGCATAGATGCCGAGCCATCGTGCTGTAAGAGCAGTTGTCCGTCCAGCTTCCATAACCACCACAGGGTTGTGGTGAGCTTGGAGCTGATCCCAGAAAACCCTGGAAAGGAGGTGCCAGTCGATGACAGGGCATCCCCACAGATGCTTCAGAGACACCGATTCACGTAGCTGCCTGTGTTTGGACTGCAGGAGGAAACTGCTGCAAACACATGGAGATGTATGCAAACTCCACACAGAGAGGCGGGAAGTGAAGACCAACCATAGACCTGCGAGGTTACAGCACTACCCACCGAGCCTCTGTGCTACACGCGAGGTGTTTATGCGGGGCTAAATTCAGCCTAGATTTATCTCAGGTCAGTGTAACCGAGAACAGGTGCCCCGCTGAGTTCCCGGGTTAAAAAATAAACGTTGAATAAATAAATTGCACACCGTAGCATATACGCAAATATATAAATCCAGAAAACAGACATAAGCACTGTGATGAAAGTGAATTAAGTATCCCGGGCTCATTTCATACATATACATAAGGTTTCTATTTCAAAGGGACACAGCAATCCAGGACAGCAGCAAAATATTCAACCCCCCCCCATCCGCCGCCCGCCTGCCCCCCCGCTAGTGAATGAGAGAACCACTTTCCTCACTTTCTGCCTCTGCGCCTAATAGTTTAATGAAAGTCATTACTCAGTTCAACCTGGGACGGCGGTTAGAGCAGAGATTAAGGACCCAGGGGTGACCAGAAGGTTGCCTGTTTAAGTCAAAAATGGCGGTCATTATTCCTATAAGCAAAACAGCTAGGAGTAAAGGGATGAATATAGACAATGAATATCCACATATCAATCCACAGACGGCTGAGGTTCACTCTGGACGGCAGGGCAGCCACACATGCACACAAACCTAAGACTGGTGAATATTAAAGTGCCTCAGTAGTGGTTTTGGAAAAAAAAAAGCCTGTCAGGTCAAATAAATAATGTACTTTAATGCAAATGTGCTGTCAGCTGCGAGGTTTCTGTAGAGCAAGCAGTGGTTTGGGCCGCAATCAGGCAGGAAACCCCCAAGAAGACAGGGGTGCAGGTCTCACTAATGAACATGAGGGAAACCCCTTTGGCGTGTGCCTTAGGTGCGGACTGAAGGCGTCCACCGCCCAGCAGCACAGCGAGGACCCGGGGGCCGGCTGGGAGTCACCGGGGGGGGGGGCCCTTTATGGCCCCGCTAGGTGTGGCAGCTTACATATCACGCAAAGTAGCTGTTACGTGTTGGGCTGCTGCAGACGCCCGTCCCGACAAGCCTGCAGAGGTGGGGCCTCTTTCAGAACCGCCACCTTTAAATCAAGCACCCCGCCCGGTCATAAATAAAGCTGATTAAAGTTGTGACGGCTGCCTGGCGCCTCCAGGGTGCGCCGTTTAGGCCCTCCGCTCACCTGTGTCCCGAGCGCACAGTGGGGATGGGGGCCGTGCCGGGGAGGGGGGGGGGCAGAGACGAAGCGGGCTCAGAACCTGCTGGCTCGGCAGTTCCTGGGCCGGTGCTGGCCTGCCGTTCTGACTCAGTGAGAGTCGGGTTGGGGG